GTATATATTCTATCATGAAGTATATAATTATCTGGTCGTCTTTTTGTGATATTATCAGCTAGTATCGAACCGAATAGTTTCACTGCCCTAAATATCCCCTATGCTCCATCTGCTCATCTTTCCCTTTCCACTTCACCTCTAGCAACTACTCATCTTTTTACTGCTACTCTCTACAGAATGTCATATAGTTGCAATCATTTAGTATGCAACCACTAACTTTTTTTTTTAAGATTTATTTATTTATTTGAGAAAGGGAGTGTGCATGCATGCAGGGGTAGGGCCGAGGCAGAGGAAAAGAGAGAATCCCCCCCCCACCAGCAGTCTCCCCACTGAGCACAGAGTCCAGCACAGAGCTTCAAGGCTGTATCACAGGACCCTGAGATCTCAACCTGAGCCGAAATCAAGAGATGGATGCTTAACCAACTGAGCCACCCAAGCATCCCCAACCACTAACCTTTTTTAAAAAAATTTTTTTAAAGATTTATTTATTTGACAGAGATCACAAGTAGGCAGAGAGAGAGGGGGAAGCAGGCTCCCCACTGAGTAGAAAGCCCAATGCAGGGCTCAATCCCAGGACCCTGAAATCATGATCTGAGCCAAAGGCAGAGGCTTAACCCACTGAGCAACCCAGGTGCCCCTGAAATGACCTTTAATTTTTTTTTTAATATGAGTTCTATCTTTATTTTCAAATCTTCCTTTTCTTTCTGATAATTTTTCTGATTTTGTCTAATTTACATTTTTTCAGCAATTTTCAAACTCTTTGGTTTCAGAATATTAAAAAAAATAGAGTGACATTGTTTTATATTCTTATAAATATCTTTAATGTCTTAATTGGAGACCTCTAGAGTCTCATATCTGCTTCTGTATTAAATTTCTTAGGATATGTTGTATTGGTTGAAAAAAATATATGTATATATTAAAGATTTTATTTATTTATTTGTCAGAAAGAGAGAGAACCCGAGCACCGGGGAGCAGCATTGGGAGAGGAAGAAAGCATGCTCTCTGCTGAGCAGGGAGCTCAATGGAGGGCTCGATCCCAGGACCCTGGGATAATGATCAGAACCAAAGGGATATGCTTAACTGACTGAGCCACCCAGGCACCCCCGGTTAAAATATATTTTTTTAAAATGATGCCTCACACCAATAAGAGATTCAAAAAGGGGGGAGTGCTTTAATAGCATTTTCAATGAATTGTGGATATTCTTTTTTGATATGACATGAAAACTGGACAATTGGTTTCTTAAAGTTTAGTTGTATGTGGAATCTGAAACCATACCAGCATACTTTTTGTACTTTGTTGCATTAAATCCATTTTGGTACATCTTGCATTTATTTTTTTTAAGTGTATTTATTTTATTAGATTTTATTTATTTATTAGAGAGAGAGAGAATGCACACAAGCAGGGGGGAGGGCAGAGGGAGAGGCAGGCTCCCCACTGAGCAGGAGCCTGACATGGGACTCCATCCCAGGACCCTGAGATCATGACTCAAGCCGAAGGCAGACGCTTAACAACTGAGCCACCCAGCGTCCCACATCTTGCATTTAAATGGATCTTTTACCCATGCATGATTTTGTGACGTCATGCACTGGTCATTTGAAAAATATTAACTTACTGAGTTATGTAGGTCTTTCAAATGCTGATAAATTTCATTTTGGATAAATAAAAATTCTAGATAAATAAAAATTTCATTTGTTAATGTCCTCAATCTTGGGGCACCTGGGTGGCTCAGTGTCTTAAACGCCTGCCTTTGGCTCAGGTCATGATCCCAGGGTCCTGGGATTGAGCTCTATGTTGGGCTCCCTGCTGAAACAGGGAACTGCTTCTCCCTCTCCTCTCCCCTTGTGCTCGCTCTCACTCTCTCTGTCTCTCTTTCTCAAATAAATAAATAAAACCTTTTAAAAAAGTATCAATCTCATTAAAAGATCTTTAAAGGTCTATCACTTGTTTTCCTGAAATAACAATCTCACTTTGTTTTCAAGAAAATGTCTCCAAATATTCAAGTCTGACTAACCATCATGTATCAGGGTTTTTCAAGTAAAAATGGTATTCCAGATAAAAAGTAGCTAGTTAAGCTGGCATCTCAAAATCACAGTGGGGCTCCTGGGTGGGTCAGTCAGTTAAGCATCCGTCTCTTGATTTCAGCTCAGGTCATGATCTCAGGGTGGTGAGATTGAACCCTGTTGGCTCTGTGCTCAGCTCCATGCTCAATCTCTTGAGCTTCTTCTTCTTCTCTCTCTCTCTCTCTCTGCCCCTCCCTCTGCGTTTACTCTCTCTCTCTCTCTCAAATAAATAAATAAATTTTCTAAAAAATTCACACAAATGTTTTCCCTCAGAGCATCCACCGTACTTCAGTATGCAGCAGAAGTACTTTGTGCATATTTCTCATTTAGTCACACAAATAAAAAGAACATGTGCTCAAGTTTCAAAATCAATAAAATTAACCATTTTTACTGCTTTTTAAAGGGCATTCTTGGGGCACCTGGGTGGCTCATTGGTTAAGCCTCTGCCGTCGGCTCAGGGCATGATCTCAGGGTCCTGGGATCAAGCCCCACATTGAGCTGTCTGCTTAACTGGGAGCCTGCTTCCCCCTCTCTCTTTTTTTTTTTTTTTAAAGGACATTTTTAAGTGAAACTGGCTATTTTTTTAAAATTGCAAGTATGTGATGGTAAAGAACACTATGACTGTGAGTGTTCCTTGGTCATCCAATGGCCTAGTAGTTTTGCTTTTACACCATAGGTGCAACACTGGAAAAGCTAATTAATATTTTAATATTACTATGAAAGTTTTTTTTAATAGTTTTGATTTTGTGGACCCCTGTGCATGTCTCAGGGACCTTCAGCAGTCTGGGGACCACACTTTGATAACTGCTACATTTTGTTTTTATATCTTTTAGCTTGTTTCAAAATATTAAGTTACAGTTTTCATTTGTAATGTATCTTTCTAGAGTGCTTTCATTCTTTAGGGATGTTGCTCTCTCTCTCTTTTTTTCTTTTAAAGATTTTATTTATTTGACAGACAGAGATCACATGTAGGCAGAGAGGCAGGCAGAGAGAGAGAGAGAGAGAGAGAGAGGAGGAAGCAGGCTCTCCACTGAGCAGAGAGCCCGATGCGGGGCTCGATCCCAGGACCCTGAGATTGTGACCTGAGCCGAAGGCAGAGGCTTTAACCCACTGAGCCACCCAGGTGCCCCTGCTCTCTCTCTTTTTTTTTAAAGATTTTATTTATTTATTTAACAGAGATCACCAGCAGTCAGAGAGGCAGGCGGGGGGGGGGGAAGCAGGCTCCCCGCCAAGCAGAGAGCCCGACGTGGGGCTCAATCCCAGGACCCTGAGATCACGACCTGAGCGGAAGGCAGAGGCTTTAACCCGCTGAGCCACCCAGGCGCCCCTCTTTTTTCTTTTATTAACTCATAATAAAGTGACTGTAATCCTTTCCTGTGGCTCTTTAAGTGCGATTAAGTTTTCCTATATCTTTACATGATAAGGGTAGGCCTGAATAGCTTTTCTAGTTTCAGGGTTTTAGAGCTCCCTCTTCTGTTATGTTCACAAAGTGCTAAAAAATGGAGCTTTATGTGTCCTGATATCTGCCATCTTTGCTTTTCTCCCCACTTGTACCTGTACCTTCTCTTTCCTTTGAACCTGTTGTTTCTATCCCATTCAATGTGGATTCTATTCCCACTAATTTCTCCCTGATGTGGGTCTTGTCTTGAAAGCGATCTTCAGTTTATTACTTTTCAGAGTTTTAGGGTCCAGACTGCTCTAGCACCTTAAACCTCATTTCATTGCAGTCTCCTGGCACTCGCCTACAAATTGGATCTGCAGAACCTCCTTCCAGTTTTGATTGCTATTGTATTTAGCCCACCACACTTGCCAGTGAGTTCCTATTGACAATTTTGAGATTCTCCTCTTTTTAGTGTTGTTAGAAGTCTAGTTGACTTTCTTCCATATATAGGATATATTATGTAAATATATATTATATTCTTTAAAACGGTTACACACATACGTTTTTTCCTTTTCCACACATACCACAACTACCTTTCCACACATACCTTTTCCCTCACTGTCTTAGAGATCTTTCCATATGATCACCTACAAATCTACCTCATTGTTTTTAATAACTTTATAAAATAATTAACACTTACATAGCAATATGTATCAGGAACTGTTCTAAGTTTTGTATATATATTAATTTAATCATTACAGCATCTTATGAGTTAAATACTATTGTTATCCCTATTTTACAGATAAGGAATCTGAAGTACAGAGAGAGTAAATTACTTACAGAAAACCACAGATCTAGTACTTTGTTCATTGTATCCATCTACCGTTATCTAGGACACCGGGTTCTATGCTTCTGTGGGTAGACCCTGTGATCGTTTTCTTTTCCTTTTTTTTTTTTTTGTTCTCTTTTTTAAAATGATCCTCAAACCTTTCTGCAATTGATACCCACATGTATATATTATATATCCTGGCAAAGTTTTTTTGAGTGTGATTTATAGGGCTAAATCCCAGCCGTGGGATTGCTACATTTCTTCTTAAATTGTTTTGAGAACTTTTGAAGACATACTACATTGTGCAGGATGAATAGAGAAACACAAGGGTGCTATAAAATCAAGGTTTGGTTTCATTGTATTAGGTGATATCACTGCTTTTATTTTTTTTTAAGATTTTATTTATTTATTTGACAGAGATCACAAGTAGGTGGAGAGGCAGTCAGAGAGAGGGGAAGGGAAGCAGGCTCCCTGATGAGCAGAGAGCCTGATGCGATGCGGGGCTCGATCCCAGGACCCTGAGATTATGACCTGAGCTGAAGGCAGAGGCTTTAACCTACTGAGCCACCCAGGTGCCCCGATATCACTGCTTTTAAAGGGAAAATCTGATCTTATGAATCTTGGATGTAGGTCCTTTCACAAATGGGGTATGGGAAGAAGGAAGAGCTATGTTCTCTGACTGTTGTTTAAGCAGAGTTCATAATATATCTACTGGTGATCTCTTTTCAGAATTGGTGGAGTCTCTTTCATTGCAGGGATCTTATGCTGGAAAAATTCATTCCATTGGTGATGCCTTCAGAAATTTTAAAAACCTTCGATCCTTAGATTTATCAAGAAACTTGATCACAAGCCTGAAGGTAAGTTCTATATTCTATGACTAGTCAGTTCAACCCAATTTATTTTAGCAGTACTACTAGTAGTAGTAGTCGTAGTAGTTTTGATGGGAAGAAATAAGAGATAATGTCAGCCTGGGGGAATATAGGATCTTCCTTTTAAGTGTTTCCAAACGAAATTTTATTATTTGCTGAAAACTCACTCAGCTTTATTCTATGTTTGAAATTTTCTGGTATAAAATATTGGGGACATTTTCTTTTGTACTCGGGGAAAATTATATTAAATGATAACAGGCTAAGGCAATGGGATATATTTTTTAATGTGTGTAAAAAATTATAAGGAGCACTTGTGAAAGTACAGATTCTTAGTTGCTACTCTGAGAGAGATTCTCAGTTTGTAGGTCTGGGGTGGGTTCATGGTATACCTGGAGGATTCTGATGGTGTTGGTACATGGCACGGAAACATTGACCTAGATTATTACTGTGGGTTTTTTCAAGAAGGAGGAAATGGTGGTCTTAGAAACAAAGAAAAAATCTCTAGATCAGGGAATGGAAGAGCAGAGGGCAAGATAAGAAAGTGGACAGGAGCAGGTTTGAACAGTGTGAGGATTAGCAAATACACAAAGAGCTCTACAAACATAAGTGTGCACACACGGAGGTGGAAGTTCTGTCTTCTTTGTGGTGGACCCCCAAATGGTATTTCTCCTACGTGTTCCCATTTTACCCACTTATATGCCTGTCTGGATTAAGCCCTTCTTTGCGAGACTCAAGGTGAAAGACTCACAAATGCTATTCAGGATTAGTTAATGATCTCCTGGATTATCCTGCCAGTTCTGTGCGTTTAAGGGGATACTTATTCAACAAGACAGGCCAGACCCAAATCTAACACAAAGGACCCTAAAAGAGAAGTTCAAGCAAGATTTCCAGCTGGAACTGGAAAAGCAGAAGCTGCAAGTTAAACTAGGTCGTTAGACTCTTTGGTAGCAGCCATTTGTAGTCAGCCCATAGTTTCCGAAAGCATTAGTTCAGATTTGCTCAGGTCTCCTCTTTTCACCTGTATGTATGCATGTTTGCTTGTTAATTTTCATGCTAAAAAATTGAGTGGACGTTGCCATAATTTGTTTTTATACTCGCATTCTTTCTACTTCTATAAATTGGGCAAAAAACTATTGTGAAGATTAACATGTGTACACTGTTTGGCATATAAGAAGCACTTAGTAAATGTTTTCTCCCATTTTTTTGCATCTATGATTTATCTACATATGTTCATCTCTAGCAGTTCTGAATCATTTTACTTAATTTTCTCAGGGGATAAATGTTTTGTGATTATTTCTAGTATAATTTTGGGGAAAATGTGAATTCATGCCAAGTGGGAAAGGTGAGAGGAAGATAGAAGTCATTTTCTTGACTTTTACACTGAGAGACATTAAAAGATTACTTGAGCTGGGCCATTAGACACATTTAAAGAGAGTCCTAATGGTGTACTGCGCTGAGAGTGGGGCCAAAGTCACTGACAACTATTCCTAACTACTGACCATTTCACAATGCAGAAGTTAATGGAATCCAAAAAAGCCAGAAAGAAATGAATCAATGTGTAAACTGGGTTCTTTATTCAGAAATGCTTTGTGTATATCTTTGAGTTTTTTAAATTTTCTGTAACAAGAGAATAGTGGTTTTGAATAACAGAAGAATAAAAAACATTATTTTATAAATTCATGATGGAAAATAATTTTACTGAAATTACTCTCAATGACAGAGTTCCTTCTATGGTATGCAGTTTTACTATAAAATGATGTGATTGTACATATATGTACATGTTCTAAGTTACTGTCCTGAAATTTAGTGTTGGGCAAAAGCAGAACTAACCAAATGCATGAAAATTAAGCAATTATTTTCAATAGTAGATTTCAGCAAAGAAGGCGTATTGTGGCTTTTCCTCTCCAGTATCCCAGAGAAAAGGAGGAGTGGGGTAATTCTGGAAGGGGAAACAAGGACAAGAAGGGTTCTAGACTGTTCCAACAAGGAAGACTTAGATATAGTGTTTTTTTGTTTTCCCACATACTCCATTGACCCTAAATATGAGGCATTGAGATACAAGAACACACAACATACACACACTTAATTTTTTTTTAAATCATACTCTTCTTCCTCAGGACTAGCTTTTTTGCCTATCTCCTTTCCTCTTGAAAATTGATGTGTTTCTGGGGTCAGGAGAGTGGATGTGGCAAGGGTGAGAGAAGGGCAAAAGTGACTTAGCTTAGCCACTGGAAGGGAGAGTGATCGGGGAGCAACAGAAGTAGATATCTGACTGCAAATACTTGACTGCAGATATTTCCACGTCAGGTTTTTAAATATACAATACATCTAGTGCCTATGGGCCGATTGTTCTTATTCTTAGTCATCTAAATAAGAGTTTCAACCTGCCTTTCTCATGGATGATTCAGGTAACATGTTTAAGGATGGAAGTAATAGTTATATTTCCACCTTTATCTGTGAGATTCCTAGTCCTTACCTATGTGCAGTTTCATAACGTGGTCTTTTCCTTGCAGGGCATCCAGTATTTATGTTCACTCCAAGACCTGAATTTATATTATAACAACATTCCTTCATTAGTGGAGGTGTCCCGCCTACAGCCTTTACCCTTCCTCAGAGAACTAGATTTGAGACTCAATCCTGTTGTCAGGAAAGATACAGATTATAGGCTCTTTGCTGTGTACACGCTACAAACTCTGGAGAAACTGGGTGAGACCCTCCTCCCCTGTTCCTTGCCCCAGAATTTACATTAAACCAGCTGCCTCCTATCCTTTTGGGTGTTGGCCCACAGTGTGCACTGGCAGGATATATTTGTCTATTAGTCAATATTTATGTAATTCTTTTGTGTTGGCAGGATGTATGACGAGTCCTTTTTTTTATTGAATGACAATCTATGATTTTATCAGTTACTTCCAGCTTTAGTTTTCTTCAGTTGATGGTTTCACCACCACTTCCTCCCCAACAAAGAGTTTCCAGGTTGAGATTTATTTTTCCAGGTGCCCCAAATTTGCAACTATATTAGCAATAGAAAATGAATACAACAACTCTTTGGGGCTTCGTTGACAAGGAACAATAAATATCCCTTCAAATGAGCTAGTCTGTATTTCTTTATAATTTTATTGTTGAATATACATTTCTTATTGATATAAACTTGAATTTATTCTTGGAGAAAGATTTCTCTTGCTTAGTGGGGAAACTAATTTCTTTCAGAAACAGTGTAACTTTTTTTTTCTTGTTTTTTTTTAAGATTTTATTTATTTATTTGACAGAGATCACAAGTAGGCAGAGAGGCAGGCAGAGCGGGGGTGGGAAGCAGGCTCCCCACTGAGCAGAGAGCCTGATACAGGGCTCTATCCCAGTACCCCGAGATCATGAATCAAGCTGAAGGCAGAAGCCTAACCCACTGAGCCACCCAGGCGCCCCAACAGAAACAGTGTAACTTCAGCAGACTACTAGGCCATTTGGATTGTTTGCTGCCTAAACTCTACTTTCCTGCAGTGGTAGCCATACCTATGTGGCAGTTGTTGCTATGGTATCCCTGTAGTCTCCCTGAGTTACTACTTGCTCCAGTGACAACATAATAACATTATTTTGTGACCTGTCTCTAACAAAAGAATATGAGACTGAGCTTTAGTTTTTACTCTGTGAATATGGTTTTCTGACCCACTACTGTTTACTCCAAAAAAGAAACATGCTCAGACCACGGTTTTTGCCTCCAGATGACCGAGCTGTGCGGGAAAGTGAGAGAAAAGCTGCCAAGCTGCATTTTAGTCAGTTGGGCAACAGTGAAAATTTTCTTTTAGAGGTGGAAAAAAGGTAAGACAATTACTTTAAAAAAAATGTTTTAGTTTGGTTCAGACATAGATAGCAGTGAATTCCTACTTAATGTCTTCATTTTCAGCAGAAATCTCCACAAGTTGTAAGAATCCTCAGATTAGGAAAAAACGTATCTATTCAACATATTGAAATTTATCCGGGATGAGAATCTGGCCCTCAGAGGGAACATTTCTGCTTTCTTGAACTATTGGGTCTGCTTTGGGTATAATTATTATTTTTTAAGATATTATTTAGTTGAGAGAGAGAGGGAATAAGCTGGGGGTAGGAGCAGAGGAAGAAGGAGAAGCATATTCCCTGCTGAGCAGGGAGCCCGATGAGATGTGGGGCTCAGATCACGACGTGAGCCAAAGGCAGATGCATAACCAACTGAGCCACCCAGGTGTCCCTGGATATAATTATTGATAATTCTCTAAAGCTGCTGTTCAAAGCTTACAGGTAGGGATACCATGAGATATCCTCCCCATAAATGCTTACCAACTCTTTCCTGAAGTTATAAATCAGTACACAGTCTTTTCCTATTGAATTAGAAGGTTTACATTACCAGGGAGATTAATTTCTTAAAAGATAAGGGAAACATTTTTCTACCAAATCAAAAGTAAACAGACCTTGAAGATCTAAAGTATCTGAATGGTAGATTTTTATACTTCTTGTTACTAAAATCTGATCAAAATAAGATACCATATATTCTACTCCAAAACTCATGCTCTTTATTTTTAAAAAGTAGCTTTATTATTTTTTAAAAACAACTCCATTAAATTTTACATAACACAGAAAAATGCAGTGAAAAAAGTGAAAATCACCCCATACTCTGTTACTAAGAGTTAACTACTAGTAACGTTCGGTAGACATCCTTCTAAACATCTGTGTACCTACCAAAAGACAAATGTACATGTGTCTGTTAGTATTGCTTTCTGGTGGTATAAGTAAAGCATTACTTATTATTGAGAATTTGGAAAGTACAGAAAAACCACAAGAAATAAATAAGCAATTCATGTTTTCACCAACCAGAAGTAAACATTAATTATATTATAGTAAACATCCTCTTTGTCTTAGGTATATGTGTGTGTGTGTGTTTATATACAATATTCTATGTTATATAATTGATCTCTAAATATACATTAATAATAAAATAATACATATATATTTATTTTATAGTAATTTGCTTCCTATACATAACATTTGTAGCTTGTTAAGATATGAACATATCTCCACAACATTAAATATTCCTCTCCAGAATGAGTTTTTTCTTTGTTTATTGCCGTTCTTATTGCCATGAGAATTAGGACCTTGCTTGTCTTATTAGTTGCAATATCCCTAGTGTCTAGAACACTGCCTGACACATATAAGGTACCAAAAAAATAATTTGTTGAATGATGAATGAATGAAGTCAATAACTGTTCTTTTGGTCTGGGATCTTTCTCTTTGTCTATCTCTGCCCTGATCCTTTAGATGTCTTATAATGTAACACTCAGAGAGCATTTTTAGTTCCCTATATGTATATTTTTATTTATTTTTTAACCCAAGTTTATTGAGGTTTTTACATAGAGTAAAATTCACCCTGCTATAAAAAGAAATGGAATGTTCCTTCAAAATTATTTGTATATGTATTTTATCAAGTAATGCTTATTTTAATTCATTCGGGGTACCTTGTTTATTACAGAAATACAGAGATGAACTAATGTGTAACTGAATACACTTCCTAATAAGGCAGATAATTAGCACTATCATATTTCTGTTTATCATAGTTACCATATGATATGATGATTGCAAAAGCAGAGGTAAAATGTTACTCAAGTGCCCAGTCCTAGCATTAATATCTTTTACGATCTCTAACCCTGGGTAAAGACTTTTTTAAATCTTTCTGAATCCCAGTTCCCCCAACGTATATAGTGGTAATAGTGAATAATAGGGGAGCTTTTACGATTAAATGAAATGGTGGGTGTAAAGTGCCTGGCTCATAGTCTAGGCTGTCTGTACTTCCAGTCTGTAGTTGTGTCTTACTATACTATATCAATCAAGAGCAAACATTTGCCTCTCTTGTCTTTTTTTTTTCTTTTAACTAATGGCTGTAGTTGCTCCCAGTACAGTTCTTGGCAGCAGAACTTTCCTTTCTGTGTCCTATGAATTTTTTAATTCAAAAGAAAATATCTTATTCCCTTAAACACTTATACCTAAGTTTGTATCAAGAAAACAGAGTGTCTAAGTCCTGAATTTTCTGGCTTTCATACTTTATTATTTTTTTTAAAGGTTTTATTTAGAGAGTGAGAGAGAGCACACATACCTGCGTGAGCAGGGGGAGGGGCAGAGGGAGAGAGAGAATCTCAAGCCGACTCCCTGCTAAGCCCAGAGCCTTACACAGGGCTCAGTACCACCACCCTGAAATCACGACCTGAGCTGAAATCAAGAGTCAGATGCTCAACCTATTGAGCCTGATTTTCATACTTTAGAGGCTGAACTATATAGTGCCTTCTCTCTCACTATTCCCAGTAACAATATTATGGCTTTAAAAAATGGGTTTAACTGAAATATTTGTGAAAATAATATTTTCTAGAACATTTTAAAAATCTTATTACCATGAATTAATGTTTTCTAAATAGCATTTACTGGTGATCTCAGAAAGCTCCTTTTGAGCTTTTTAAAAAAATTTTAATTTTAAATAAATTATTCTGTGTGGCAGCTCTAGGGAGAAGACAATGAAAAACTGTGTGACTGATGAGAGCTCTGCATCAAAAGTCAATGCCGATGTTGATAACAGAATTGAAACTGGTAAGTTTCCTTTCTTTGATCACAAAATGCTTAGAACATTAGTTATTTCAGCTTTTGTGGCTCATCTTGAGTAGGATGAAGACAAAATAGTTGAGAAATAACAGATCTGAAGTAAGCACTAGATTTACTGTGTTTTTCCTCCTTTCTCTCAATGCCAGAAAAGGCCCTATTTATTGAGCAGGCCTAAACCAGAACCCATCAAGTACAATCTGTACTCAGAATTCAATTTCATTTACATCAATTTACATCATTAGTACATTCTGAAAATTGCACTACCAGTCCCCATGGTCCCTGAGCATTGCTAAAGTGATTGATCCATTAGCCAGAGACTCATGACTCATCTGTATCAATGCAGCTCAGACCCTGGCCCTTCTGGGTTTCTCTACCTTGAACTTTTGCAGCTGAAGAATCTCTTGTGTTTGTGCTATATTCCTGGTGAGTGTTGCCTGTAAGTACTGTTGGTAACCTAATAGGATTAAAATGGTTATGCCACATTTAATGATTGTGGCACAGGCAAGGAGAAAGCTTTCCTTGGAGGAATAGCATACAGTGGACCCTTATGGATTAATCTGGCCCTCATCAGATGACTTTTTACTTGAGGAAACTTTATTCTGTAGAGCCCTCTGTCCCTTTGAAGGATACACCAAATTATTTACAATCTCTAAAAATTAATCCCTAAAATCCCAGGAATAACTTTAATAGATGGACTATGTAGTTCAGATGTTAAGAATTTCCCATTTATAACATAAAGTATTTTGTTTTCCTTACTACTTATCTATCTGTGTGGACACATACTGCAAGTCATTTTCATGTGATTTTTTTTAAAAGATTTTATTTATTTATTTGACAGAGATCACAAGTAGGCAGAGATGCAGGCAGAGAGAGAGAGGAGGAGGCAGGTTCCCTGCTGAGCAGAGAGCCCGATGTGGGGCTGGATCCCAGGGTCCTGGGATCCAGCCCCAC